ATATAGTTATTTGTCTTATATCGTGATATTTATCGTTATCGCCTGAAATGAAAAAAGCATATCATGATATGAAAAAATCTTATATCACCCAGCTCTAATTAAATGTCATTTTCATAAGAAATGGGCTGGAAAAACCCCCAAGCTGCAGCAACACCTCAAAAATAACCCAGTAAGGATCTGCTGACTTGACAACTGGTCAGTGAGACTGTTCCTTACCCTTAAAATGTATATCTCCCCCTCTCTGTGTTCATTATAGATCAGGACCTTTCACATATGGATGAGGATGAAGCCTATGACTACAAGTTTGTGAAGTGGATGATTAAAGAAAAGGTGAATATTTCTTCATTCTACTATATTGGAAGCAACATGTTTTTAAAATGCTTTTTAAAAAAATGGAAATATATATTTTACACAGAAACTAGCAGCCATTCCAGTTACTGCATTTGTTGGAGAAGAGTCTACGAAAGACTTTGAGAAATATATTCGCCTTTGCTTCATTAAGGTAAACACACAAAGTGTCAATAAACACAGTACCTCTAAAATTATCCAGTGAAGATGAATATTGGCTGAGGTGCAGTTTTTATTTTTCCTCCGTTTCTCTTAACAGCAAGATAGTACTCTCGACGCAGCGCGGAGTATCTTGAAGAGCTGGACGAAGGTTTAACGGGAGGTGCTTCGGAAGACTTAAACTCTACACTAACTGGAAATTAGTCAAATGTATTAGAAGAGTTGAATATAGAGTACATAATTTGAACTGTACAGTGTGTTAGGAGAAAGGAAACCCAAATATTGAATAGATGAAAAAACCCTAGTCAGTCATTCTGTTTTTGGCTGTTATTTGTTGAGGGTTAAATCTTGAAACACAACAGAACAGGAAGAAAGAATCTGCTGTAACTGTGCCTTTTCTGTGTCCTTTCCACTAAAGTCTTTCCACTAAAACTATGGGACTGGTTTGTTAAAACTTTATTGTGATCAAATGTTTTGTAAAATTTTAGTGCTAATCATTGGATTAACAGCAATCTGCTGGTACCAAACATCCATAAAGGTTTAAGACTCCTTTTAAAAAGTACAGTTATTAAATGTATTGACAAGGATGCTGAAGATGTAGCTCCCAGGCAGGAGGAAATGGGAACGATATCAAAGGAAGGAGATACATGAATATAGTGAATGAGGACATGCAGAGGGGTTGATTTATTAGAAGTAGATGTTAGGGATAGAGTGAGCTGAAGGCCGATGATGCACTGTGGCGATCCCTAAAGGGAGCAGCCCAAAGAAGCTTGAGAATTAATGTATTGACAAAATTTCGTGTTATTTTGTTTTCTGTTTCTCTGCTTAAATCATTTGATTTGTTCTCATTGGTGCAGTTTGTTTTGCAGTGCAGGCATGCTCACTGTGAAAAAGAACACATTAAGACATTACTAAAAAACAAATAAATAAAATGCAGTTAAAAGCTTTATGGAATACATAGAATCCAGTTAACTAAAGTACAGTAAAACCACTCAGAGGGAAAACCAGTTAAATTTTTTGAACCCGAACCAACGTCAGTTTTAATGATCCAGGAACAACACCAACACAGGGATATGTTCTTACCTTTTACTCCTAGTTTTGGATGTGAGATAACATTTGAGGATTGTTTTCAACTGTTAGAAATTCTTTTTGTAATGTATGGGAACAAGTGAATCTCTAAATAATCCTGGCCAAAAACACAAGGTCTCATACAGCATTGTGATACCACTTGCCTTTGGCATCACAACCATTCAGGTGAGTCATAACTATCTAGGAGCCAGAAAGAAAAAAGAAGTCCAATTAGGACTCCCTCTTAGTGAAGTTTTTAGTGAAGTCTTATAAGATTTATTTATTTATTTATTTTTTGCAGTCATTTTCTCATTTCAGCGTAATGGACAGATTTAATTTTGTAAAAACTGACAGCAATGAGATTGCATGTCAAACTGCTATTCATGCCACGTGACTGTAATCGTGTTGCTAGCCGTGTAGCTGTGTTACGTGGCTGCTAAGCTACAACTTCAGCCCTCAATTGACAAAAGTTCAGTGTCAGCTTGAATACTTATAAAAATGTGACGTCCTGTGTCGTTTTAAAGCTGTTAATGCAGAGACCGTGTACTCAAACTTATATAAAATGCTTAAAAAATTTTCTGGGATCCCCATGAATGCAACATTTATTGCCATGCTCCTCAGCACCAAAACGAATTGCACTCAAATGCACTTGGGGAAAACACCTGCTCAGCCACCACCTTTATCCTACTCTATAATTCGCTTTCAACATTTTTACTCACCCCTCTTTTCTTTCTCTACTTATTTCTCAACAACCAGTCCTTTCTCATCTCTGCTTCCTGCCTTTATTACATCCTCTTAGCTAGCACCAACAACAATCCCATTCCCTCATATTCTAGTTCTTCTACATTTTTTTTGTCTACCCCTTACATCATATCTTTGGCTCTAGTAGTGTCACCTTCTGTTATGACATGGAACTACATCAACTTGACAACAAATACTTCCTGGTCATTGCAACCCCAACAGGTTCACTTTAGCAGTTGAAATTACAAGTTACAGTGCGCTGGACCTGGATGTGAACCAGCAGTCTGCTTCACAAAAAGGATACCCCTGTAAGCGGGCAATACAGTTTTATACCACAACAAAAACAAGTATTCTTATGACTCTCTTCTTCTGGGTAGCGACGTGGCCATTTCCCCCTGGGGATTTTCTGCTCCACTCCATCCACGTGTAAGCTTGTCTGAATCTGTTCCTTTCCTGGAAAAAAGACAGAGAAAGAAAAACAGCTGCATGAGCTTCTCAAAGGTGTAGTAATCATGACTTTCATGAAACAATTCCATGAAAAGATATAAGCATTTGTAAAGATAATCATGTTAGTGATACAGCAAGAAATATCGCAGCTTAATTGTTTAAATAATAAAACGAGTGCTGTACATACATTGTTGATACAGCAAAGGTAGTTAAAAAATTTGAAATATCTAAAGGCTGCTTGCAACATGGAAACTGTTACCAAAAATGCTATTCCTAGATAATGTAGTAGTTTTGTGTTAAAAGTAGTGGATAAATAAAGAGATATCTATAGTAATTAAAGTAGTTAAGAAAATAATCAAGCTCAAAAATAAATTTTATATAATTAATAGTTAAATGATATGAATTTGATCATAGTTTAATCTATATATTTATTTATAACATTACAAGAAAATGAAGCACTGCTGTGAACCACTTGGGGGAGACAAAGTACATCAGACTGAAAGAAAAATCCACTTTTAATGTGATATTTAGTGTTTTGGATTCCCCTGTAACATGAGTGATGCAAGGGAAAAAATGGCTCAGTTAAAGAAATAAACCTGTCTTTGATTTTAAATTGATTGTTTTTAAAAACGACTTCTGCTTTTACAGGATGGAAATAACAGAGTTCAAAATGATTCATGATCTTTGAAGAGTGTTGGTATTTTTACTTATGTACTCTGGGATTTCCTGCTATAGTGTGAGGTTTTTGAGTGGGAGATGTTGCGTGTAAGCATGATTGGTCTGCATATAGTCATACTAATGAGTCTTTTTTAAGGGTCTTACTTAACAGAATGTTATAAGACTGGTCATTTATTTAACTAAAAGTATTTTGTATTTGTTGTTGAGTAAATGAAACCCTACTTCAAAAGTGTTTTTAATCACAGTTCTGGGCTTTTTTCTTTGGTAGAATGTGAGCTGTTCTGTAGCGAACAGGCAAAACCTTGAATGTTATAATGTGAACCATCTTGTAAGAAGTCAAAATGCAAGTAAATTACTGAGTTTACCTAAATTATTGAATCTAACTGTCTAATAATCACACAACAATGAATTTCATCATTGTGGATACTAAACATTTGATGTACTCCAAATATTAGCTGCATAACCAATACACCCGGTGAGGAGGCTGCGGTATCTTTCCTTTAAATATTTGGAGTAGCATGATGGTACCTGGACAAATGATGGCATTCCATGCTTAAAACATGTCTCTGTGTGCTCTGCAAATTGTGCACCATAAATACTGAACTTAAAGCCATTTCCAGCTGTCGTAGCCAACAGGGCTGTGCCTGCATTTAATGTGGTGGAGGAATCATTATCTGATGAAATGCTTTTAATTGTAGCCTCAGAGTTAATAGTTAACGTTCCAAGCTACTTGGCATGAAATTGTGCTGTTGGTAGGGATGAAGGTGCTCTGTTCTGCTAGGCAAACAAGAGGGCCGTGATGAGCCCCCCCCCTCCCCTCGACCTCTAGATTAACATCAACACACCGTGACTGTGTGAACCTTTCAGTGTATGTAGCTGATGATGTTATGGAAACTAGCAGCCAGTTTTTTACATAATCACACACAAAAAAATTACACCTGCCTCTTGAACAAAAGATCCCTTTCCTGTGCTTATACCCTCCTGTCACTGAGGCCTGACTCAGTGTCCACAGCCTCATGGTCATAAAATGTCAGCAGTAATTTGATCCCTGGGTCTGTGCTGCTTTACCCATGAAGAAATCATGAGGTTGTCCCTAATAACCTGCTGTGATTTGACTACAGTGAATAAAAACTAAAAGGATTTAATGTGTTTGAAACTTGGCAACAGATGGCACATGTTTATCAGTAATATTAATTACTTAGACCACATGACTTTTCAAGTGATTTCGGGACAGTTTTTGCTAAAGTAAAGCAGGCACTACCAGCATGTTGATCATTTACTGTACAATGTGTATGTGTTGATCTATTAAATTCAGTTCTGTGTTTAGTTTGCTATGTAGCTATGTAACAGTATTTTTTGTATGTTTGTGTTACCTAAGACAAACCTAAGGCGATCCTTTGGTTCCTCTGTCACAGAAACTAGTACAAATGTACATTAGCATCGTAACACCAGTGTGTGAGGTGTAGTAAGATCAGTGCAAATAAATTAGATGGGTAACATCAGTATTCACTGCTCCACCAAATTTCTATTCTTGAATGAATTTATTAGTTACATTTTAACCAGGAATATCATCAGGTCTATAATAAAAATAAATATGAAATGGCCTGAAATAACATGAATGCACAGGCTTCTATTAAGTCAGGTAGCACAAACTCATTACCTTAACTGTATGTGCAACACTTAAGTGCATCAATATTCACCAAAGCAGGAGAAACATTGTATTGAAGTTATGTGAACATTGCCACTAATCTCAAAATAAATCTGGTTGTTAAAAATAGTAACCATACAACTCTACCAGATCTCTTATCATGGCAAAGTCTACAGCTTTGTGTAGACCGTCACCCCCTTCGTATACTATGAAGGTACGGAAAGAGGACTGTTAATGTAAATATGTTTTATTTTTTAAAAAGAGAGAGTTGAACGTGTTTTAAAATTCTTTCAAGACTTTACAATTTTAAATAGACAGGAATATCTAATCTTACAAGATACACCTTTTGAACTTTTATGTGATTCCTGTATGATAAGATGCACTTTAATGAATAAATCAAATGATGAGCCTTTTGCACATTTCTTATAAGCTTCTGTAGGATGAAGTCCTTCCAGATCAGTTCAAAAATCAGATTATTCTTTTGAAAGGACTTTTGATTAGCATTTAAAATAACCATGAAACGTTTATTTAAAAAAAAAAAAAGAAACTAAAGAAAGCCACTGGGATTTAAAATTGCTTACTATTATTCTCTCATATCTCCTTACCATATACTCTTTATTTGACACTGGCTACCCTCTCACCAAGAGCTCAATGTCTTTAGATGTGAGCAGTCTTTTGAAACACAGTATGGTAGGCACAAGTCACATGAGGTCATGTTGATTTTGTTCCATTTACTTCACCTTAAACTTCTGTTGGTTTCATACTGTGTGCCATATCAAGGAGAATTTTCAGTGCATAAGTATATGCAGTTATATCAATGTATTAAGCTTCACAGTGGTAATGCACTGTGAGA